CATGAAGCGCTTTGTCCAACACCTTACCGGCTTCTGCAAGATCAACACCCAACAAGGGTCCTGTTCCTGGTCCCTTCTCTGCTCGACTCCAGGTGTCGACCTCCTGTCGGTGCTGAGCCGCTCTTTCTCGTGCCCTTTGGGCTCTTCTGGCAACCCAGACGGATCTCCCCGCCTCAATCTCTTGCTTCAGTCGGTGATCAGAAACAAGCGGAACCCCAGTCCTTGGACCGACGGGGTTCGCGAGCTCAAGTCGTAACATCTGATCGTTGAGGCCTGCCCGGTAGTCGGTTTCTGCCTCAGTGTAGTGCTTGACCCTTTGGGCTCGCTCTTCGGCTTTGGCTTCAGCCTCCGTCTTACTCTTGAGTCTTGCCTCGGGCGAACTGGTTGAGACACTCCACGAACTCCGACTTAACCTGAGAGGCTGCTGGGGCTTGCTGGACAGCTTCTTGGAGACATGCCCAGTTGGCGGCGTCGGCGTCGGCCACAGCTTTGAGAAGATGCAGGTGCACATCCCCGAACTTGACCTTTCGCCTTCGAGGCCTGGGTAAGTCTCCTTCGGTGATCATTTCTAGATCCTTAGGTGGAAGGTATTCGATTCCCTTGGCATCTCCAGGGGGCGGTGGCGCATTGGGCACACCCTCTGCTGCTGGTGCTCCTCCTGGGGTCTCTGTTGCACGTCGACACTCTCTTCAACCTTCGTGGGTATCACTTCTTCGCTCTTTGGAAGAGCTGCGGTCGTTTCGGCTTCGGGCTGAGCCCTTCGGTCAGCCCTTCAGTCTTCTCTTGTTTAGGTTCTACAAGTTCTGTATAGACGCTCCTGCTGGGATGGCCTGGGCGATTTCCACCTCAGAGTCAGTGCCCCCCCAATCAACTTCCATTTCTCCCTCTGCTTCCCCGGGCGCGAAACGCGCCTCGGGTCGCGAGGTCCACAGCAAGGCCATCTTCGAAGTTCTCGGGTAAGTTGCTCCCAAGGCCTTTGGCGACGTCTAGGATCTCTTCGGTAATGGGTTTCTTCTCTTCTTCTGGCATGGGACCCCATCTGCCTGTCACTTTGGGCCTGATGGGCAGCGCAGCGCTTGACATCGGTGCTTTGGCAGAGCTCGCTGCCGAGCCATGCTCATCTTCTCGGTCCTCGAGGCTTCTGCCTTCAGGTAAGCCGTCCCACGGGGTGATCCTAATGATTGCGGCTGGCGGTACTGTCGAATCACAGAGCCACACCTTGTTGCCGGTCTTCCGGAACTTGCATCCAAGGTCAACGGCTTTCTTGACATCGATATCTATCCGTGTTTCGAGGTCGACCCGCCACCGCTCTGCGTGTTCCTCGGGGTCGTGGAAGTGGACATCTCGGTCGCCTCTCACCAACCCCTTCTTCTGAATGGACGCAGTGTGACGTCGGTAGCTGCCATGCGCCAGCAAGGCCGGGAGTTCCTCGGTTGGGACCACTGCGGCTGGGCCAACAACTCTCTCCTGCGTGTGGCCCGACCAGGCCGCGACCCACCAGACTCCATCAGTGTCTTGCTTCGCAACGAGTCGGTCCTTTTTGTCCTGGTCGAGTGCTTCCAGCAGCGCCCAGTTTTGGAATCTTTTGCAGGACTGATGCGCGGCGAGTTGTTGCCATTTCACCCAACCTTCTTCGCTGATGGGGCACTCCTCGGTGCCCGCCGCATGCATCAGCACATAGCACATGGCTTTCATTGCCTGCTCATGGAGAGGGAGACCTTTGTTCTTGTTCTTCTGTTGTCCCCCCGCAAGGCCGGCTGATCCCTGCTTGGGATTGTCTTGGAGCCACTTCATCAGGACCCTTTCAGTCTCTTCCTCCCAGGCGAGTCGACAGACTCCCACTTTGTCGGGGAGATTTTCCCCCAGGAGTTGTTGAGCTGCCCAGTGCACTGCCGCATCAGCCAGCTTTCTGGGGGTCGCTTGAAGTAACATCTTGGGGTCTCCGCATGCGGTGCGTCTGTCTTCCTCCTGATATCGCGAGCTCCTGCCGTGCAACAACTTCGCCGCTTCAGCAGGTGTGATTGTTCGAGCAGCCGGGCCGTCGGGCCCCTTCCCAATCAGCAAAAGCCGATCATCCCTTTCTGGCTGTCACGATCCGTCACCTGATAGATCAAATGAGTCTAAATTTACTCCGCTAAGGATTTAGTCCGGGGACTAAAGAGTAAATGATCATTTAGACCGGATCCCGACTAAATTCTCCGAGAGTAAATGATCATTTAGTCCGGGCTACAACTGTGCAATTTGCACTCTCCAGAGTGCAAATTGCACAGTTGGTTTTTGGAGCTCAAACTTGAACAGTGCAAATTGCACAGTTCAGAGTGCAGTTTGCACAATTGGGTTTTTGTGTTGTAGTTGTTTGTTGCTTTTTTGTTGTGTTGTTTTGTTGTGGGAGTTGTTGTGTTTGTGGTGTTTGGGTGTTTTCTTGGTTGCTTTTTTTTTTGATTTGTTTGGTGATGTTTGTTGTGTTTTGTTGGCTTGCTGGTTTTTCTGATCGTATGTGTTTTGTGCTTTTGTGTGTTTGTTTGATTGTTTTTGTTTGTTTATTTCCTGTCTGCGCGCCTTTCTTTACTTTATTTTCTTATCTTTGCTTTTCTTTCTTTTTTCATTCCTTCCTTTTCCTGTCCTTTTGTCCTTTTCCTTTCCTTTCCCTTTGCTGTTCCTTTCCCTTTATGTTTTCCTTATCCTTTCCTTTTGCTTATCCTTATCCGTTTATTTGCGCCCTTTCTTGCTGTTGTACCAATTTTTCCTTCCTTGCCCTTGCCTTTCTTCATTTTTCAATGTCTTTCCTCTTGTTCTTTCTCTGTCTTTCTGCCGTTTCTCCTTTCTTCCTTTTCCTTTTCGCGTCTTACGTCGTTCTTCTTCCTTCCTTGCTTTTGCTTGTGCTTCCTTTGTTTTTTTTCATTTCTTTTCCTTTCTGTCGCTGCTCCTTTCTTCCATTGTTCCTTTCTCACTTCCTTCCACTTTCTTTTTGTGTCTATAATGTTCTCTTTTTATGGTTGCTTTACTATTTTTTTTGGTGTTAGTCTTCTTTTCCTTTATTGTTTTCTTTGTTTATTTGGTTTCTGTGTTTTCCTTTGCTTCTTTTGTTTTTGCGGTGCAAAAGAACGACCACGCAGTGAAACAATCACACAAAACAACTTCATGTCGCAGCATCGTTCTTGCCTGAAACGTTCTTGCTTTATGTGTTCTTGCGCTATAGGCCCTACAACTGCGAGCTGTGAAACGCTTGCTTTTGATGGATCTTTTGGTCCCGACCTTTTTGTTTCACAGTTTCACAAAACGACTACAACATCAAGCAAAAAGTTCTGGCTGCTCTTGCTGCTTTCTATGTGCGCAGCTCTACTTGTTATGGCATCTCAGCTCTATTTGTGATGGCATCAGGTCTTGCGTGTTTTGTCTTGTTGACATAGAACGAAAGCATTCAAGGCATTGTGTGGCAGTTTGCATTGCAGTGTCCAGCATGCATGTCTTGCTGTTGAGGCTTTTGGTCTTGCATGTTTTTAGTTGATTTAGGTTCTTGCAACTTGTGTGGAACTTGGAAAGCGTTTCAAGTTCAAGTCACAAGTGTATTGGTCTAGTCTGGTGCCCCGCACCAAGTATGTCCAGTCTAGATGTTGCCTTGGAGCAGCAAAGCAATGCTGCCAAAACAAAACTGAAAGAACGTGCCGGCAAATCACGATTGGTCGCAGACAGCAGCACTGGAGTCCGAGACATTCAGAACGTGCTGAGAAACTTCCTCACCTACAAAGAAACTAGTGACCTGCATGCTTTGATCTCTCCAGGAAAATTTGTGAAGCTCACCTGGAAGTCTCAACCAGACCCAGAGTACATGGTGAAAATGGCGAACCTTTGCTACGACTTGGCTGCCATTGCCCCAAACTCTAAACTTGCAGGGAAAAAATCAGGGAAGCTTTGCAAAAGCTTCTTGACCTTGGTGAAGTCAGAAACACAACCGAGCGAGAGAACAAATCCTTCATTGACAACTCGGACCTCCTGATTCGAAACGCTATGGGGATGTTTCGATCTTTAAAGTATGACCTGCTTAAGAGAGATCAAGTTCTGAGGAGGATTGGTAGCCCGGATTCCAACAAGATCAAACTTGTGTTGGAGCGATTGATCCTTCCAACGGATTATGATGGAGGGGTCAGTGATGGTGAAGAAGATGCCACTGCTTGGACGGCGGCAGACGGTGGTGGTTCTCGCAGTGATCTCGCCCTCCCTCTCCAGGATGCACAGGACTTTGACATCTCTGAATTTGAGAAGATCAGCAGCAATCAGCTTCAGCCTTTACCTCATGCTGCCCCAGCTACACCTACAAAAGGTCCAACTTCGTCCAATTCTGTTGGCTTCAGCCCCGATGCATCGAAAACAGAGCCTCAGGGCAGATTCACCGGAAGTTCGGCATCCTTTCGCATGAGCCGACTTGAGTTGGGACCCCCATCACCTGTGAAGCGCAAGTTGAACCTAGATGAGAAGTTGCTTTATGAAGCAGAGGGCCACATCCCAAAGAAGGCAGTGCCAAAGTCGAAGGCAGGGCCCATGAAGAGGCCAGCCATCAAGCGTCCACCATCCTCTCTCCCTCCAACCAACTCTCATGAGCCTAATGAAGTTCCTGGTGAAGGAGCAGTTGGTCATGCTGATGATGGCGATGAACGAGGTGATGAACCGCCCACTAAGCTGATGTTCCGGAAGAATGTCCACAGCAGGACCTACAACAAGGAAAAAAATGCACAACTCAAGGGAGGCGCTGACCTCGAAACTGCGAAGGATGCTGCCTGTTCCGCTGGTGCTGCTGCTGTGCGAGAGGCTGAGGCACAAGGTCTTCTTGAGGATTGAGTGGTAGATTTGTATGCAAATGTGTAAGTGTAGAGGCAGCTTCATTGGTTTCAAGCTAGCGCAAAAGCTTTCGCGGAAATATATTTCTTGCGCATCTTGCAAACGCCACACCCAGATTATGTTCCAGAAGTTCTTGCACAGGTTCTTGTACACCGAACACGCGAACATTCTTGCAAACATGTGTTTTTGATGTCTTGCTTTCTTGCTGTGAAGTGTACACCGAACATGCGAACATTCTTGCAAACGTGTGTTTTTGATGTCTTGCTTTCTTGCTGTGAAGTGTTTGCAATGCTGCTAGATTTGAGCTGTGCGTTTGAGATGTTCTTGAGTTTACCATTTGGAATCAGCTTTGAAGATTCTTGCTTGGATGTTTTGAAATACTGCAAGATTTGAACGCCCAAGCGCTGCAAATACACAGTCCATGTGTACATTCACATTTTGCACATGTACACTTTGTTTTGGTTTTTGAGTTTAGTGTGCTTCCTCTACTAGTTGTTGTTCTTGCAATGGCTGCTGAGCCTCAGCGCTTGTATATTGGTGGATGGAAGATGGGTATCACCCGGCAAGATTCTAGTCAAGTACAGAGGAGATTTATTTTGAAACTGCGTTCTTTTGCACAGTCAATCTTGCGATGTTCTTGCTTAACATAGTTCTTGCTGAACATAATAGTTCCTCCACAGTCGATTTGTTTATGTACCCACTGAGGAGATCTATGACTATTTGGCGGCCAACGATTTGCCGATTCCGAATGATATCAAGATTGGTAGACGCTTGACGTTAAAAGAGGCTTCGTGATCTTGCCACCTGTGATGTTCTTGAGATGAACATATCACCATGTTCTTGCCACTTGTGTTGCTAGAGTTTGTTGCAGTTGACACGGTGATGCTTTGATATAACATCTGTGATTCAAGAGATTCAGTTTCTTTGCACTTGTGATGTTCTTGAGATATTTTTTGTAACTGAGATGCTGCATGTTCTTGACAGGCGCCACTCAAAGGGGATATCCTGTTCTTGCCACCTGTAGCTCTTGCCACATGTTTTGTTCTTGCCACCTGGTGTTCTTGTCAGTTCTTGCGCTTGAGATGCGTCTTGCCGATCATGTTCTTGCCTCAGGTCAGGGGTCATCAGACCAGATGTATACCTTTTTCAACCTGAGCTCCGCTGCTGATTCAGTGGCGATCCAGCTTGCACTTCGCGGCAAGACCATTACAGGTCTTACGAAGAGGGCTTTGAAAGTCAACATTGCCGGTCCAGCACCTCCACGCTACGATCCTGCGACCAAACATGGAAGCCGACCAAAGCACCCTTCGGTGTCGATGCCGCAAGCTCATGGTTATCCATTTCCACCGGAGCCTCCACGACAGATGTTCGTATCCACTACAGTTGGCACGGAGCATCATCCAGTTGGCAAATATGTGGTACAACCTCCGGTACCGACGCCCACATCCTCCGTGACATCGAAACCAAAGCCGAGCATGGCACCGAGATTCATGGCCAAGCCATCAGCATCGGTTGTGCCAGAAGTTGCGCCAGTGGTTGCTCCTCCTGCTGTGAAAGCTGTTCCGAAGGTGGCTTCGGTGGCTTCGATGAATCGGTGGGGAGAGCTTGGCCCGCGACCTCCCACCGAGTGGCTCCGTCCGCGAGAGGCCATGCAGGGCGCTGTCTCCGGTGGTGAGACAGAGTATGCTGGTTCAGATGGCTCTCCGCAAGAGCGTGGTGAGGAGGAGTCATCGCCAGATCATCCAAGCTGTGGATGTGCATCTTGATCTGTTTTTGATCTGTAGTTTAATCATGCACTTCTCTTGCATTTTTGCTTATTGCAATATGTTCTTGACAATACTGTTGATGAACTGTTCTTGATGTGTTCTTGAGTTCTTGACAATATATGTGATTCATTGAACTTTTTCAGACAGTTCTTGCGGGTTCTTGTGCTTTGTGTTCTTGTGAGTTCTTGTGTTTGTTCTTGCATTGTCAACCTAAGGATTGAAGCGAGCATTGATGGAGGTCTTTTTGATTTTCTTGAATGTAGTAATTCATATGTGGACCCTCTAGTCAGGGAATACCAATAACAGCCCGGATGACCGGCCGTGGACTGTTTTTGCTACATCAGAAAAGTTGATGTTGGCACGTTGTCCATGGAGAAGCATAAGTACGATATGATGAGATGAGCGCGTGAAAAGAGATGCATCCGATGTCAGCACTGCAGCACTGCACTGAAAACAAAACCAGAAGGAAGTCTTTAAACTGATGCATCAAATACAATACGGCCATATATAGCTCTCTTTCATTTTCTTGCATGGAAGCACCATGATCTGTCCTATAACACAATCTAGTGGGCATGTTTTTCTTGCGGTGAAGTTCAACCACAGTTGATGCCTTTCTTGATGTTCTTTCTTGCAAACATTCTTGCAAACATTGTGTGTTGCTTGCTTGATCAAAGTGTAACTGTTCTTGAGCACAGTGAGTCTTGCTTTTACAGAAGAATTTGTTTGTTCTTGAAGACCAACTGCTATGCGTTTGGATCTTTTGAATTCTTGCAGATCATGTTCGTCTGTGTTGGTCGACTGTAATAATGTGTTTGGATCTAGTTATTGAGTCATGTTCTTCCGTTTGGTTGTTGCTCTTGCTGATCAACTGCCACGTTCTTTTTGAATGTTCTTGCGTGGCTTCATTGCCAAAATTGTGGCGCTGGCTCTGTAGCTGGATTGAGATCGTGCGTTGTTCTTGCTGTAGTTCTTTCGATTAGGATCGTAGAACCATGCCAAAGCAAAGCTCTTTTGCTAAGAAGCTTGCCATGAAGTCAGTGGCAATGAAAAAGGTGAAGGCAAAACGCGGAACCAGTGCCGGCAGTTGCTCTTCGAAGCCCTCAAAGCCTATGAAGAGTATGAAGAAGCCATCCCCGAAGAGCATGGCTCAGTTCAAGAAGCAATTCAGGAAGGCTGGCAATAAAATGCTGCATCCCAAGAAGGTCAAGAGCGCCAAGTCTTGGTTGGACCCACAGGCCAAAGCTGCGGCGCTGAAGCGGCCTTCGAGTTCCAAGCGCAGCTGGAATGCGCCACCATCCATGACACTCCCGCAGTTGATGCGCTCTGAGATCAATGTGGTGCCTGGGAACCGCTTTGCCCATGAAGATATGTCAGAGGAGGACATCAACATCCTGAAGTTGTGGAGCATACTTGCTGTGCGCCGCGAGATTTGTGAGCTCTACTTGGAGGGTCCTTGGGCTGCCTTTGGTCTTGCTGGCTTTCATGATTTCAAGGTGAGGTTGCTTCGCAATCGGCTTCGGGAGGGTGAGTATACTGATTTGCTGGCAAGGTACAATGCTGTCAGCATGGGTCGCCCAGACCCAGCGCGTTCTTGAGTTTCAGCAAGGCGTCAAAGTTATTGAATTGTTGCCTTTAGACATCATTGATCTAGTGGTTCAGGACTAATTTATGCTCATAAAGCATTCCTTGATTGTAGTGTCTTCAACCAGTCTTTGTTCTTGCAACATCTTGTCTTCTTGTGTCTTGCTGTGCTGCCACAGCTATTCCGGAGCGCTGCATTAGGATGGCTTCTTTTCTAGTGAAGCTTACAGTAAGTGTTGTGTTGGTAACTTTTGTTCATTACAGTTGACCAGTGTCACTACAAAGGAGCCCTTGCAGAGCTGTGAATGGAAGCTGTGAATTTTTATCGGCTTATCATCGCGCGCCCAGAAACAAGCTTGAAGTTCTTGACTGTTCATGGTTCTTGTGTCACCTGATCATGTACAGTGCGTTCTTGCAATAGTGTAATCTCAAGATGTTCTCATACATGTGGCCTCAGTGTGAGCAATGTTCATGATTAGAAACACATTTTTTGATTCAAAAATATTGATTTTTTGTTGAACACATAAAAAAGCGCAAGATTTTTTAGGAAAACTCACAAATTTACTGTGCAAACTGCACAGTTTACTGTGCACTTTGCACAGTGAACTGCACAGTACACTGTGCACTTTGCACAGTGAACTGCACAGTACACTGTGTAGTTTCATGGTCTACCGTGCAAACTACACAGTACAGGGATGGACCCCTTAGTTATACCAAGTTATAACTTGGGGCAAGTTAGGTTATAAGTCACGGTAACACCGTTATAAATTGGCTTAAGTATACTAAGTTCGTTTTCAAATTATAGCTTACATATATGTTTTACTGTAATTATAACTTACTTACAAGTTCTTTTTTAAAGATCTGCTCCTGAAGTTAGTTTGAAGTTACGGAAGTTAGCATTTTGGTATGTTTTTTCAATGTTTTTTTTGGTTCCCTTGCTGACGTTGATAGAATACATTGTTCTTTTTGAGGTACCTGTTTTCTTGACTTATTTTAGTTCATTTTTTACGCTATCTACATCTTTGATGTTTTCTGTTGGCCAGATTTCTGTTGGATTTTCTGTTGGTCCGCACTCTGACTTCGGCATTGTTTGTACTAGTTGTAATTTGACCGTTGCAACCAATTACTTATAAGCCGTCTTTAAGCTTTTGCAAACAAATGAGTATTTGTTCTCGAATGTCACTGATGCAATGTACATATGTGGTTATAAAGGGTGTCCTGGCTGCCAGGATGGTAGCCTGCTAGTTAAAGTCCTGGCTGCCAGGACAAAATGATTTTAAAAAACTTGCATGGCGGTGGTTGGGAGTGATCCTGGCTGGCAGGATACCTTTGTTTGTTTCTTGATACCATGTTTTTGATTATTCCTGGAAACCAGGACTTAGACACATGGTAAAAAGCTGAAGAGACAGATGTACACAGAGGTATACAGAGGTATGGGCAGAGGTACACAGAGGTATGCCGAGGTAAGCAGGTGTATGCAGAGGTATGCGCGCAGTTGCATAGAAAAGTACCCAAGTGCACACAGACACATACAGATGAATACGGACACATTAGTTTTTACACTTTCTCACATGTATGTATCTGTTTTTCGAAGATGTGTGTGATTAAATGTGTTTGTGTTCTCCTTGATGTCACAACATTTGTCAAACAATC